TGCCCAAGGCATTGATTCTTATACATGTGGATCCTGTGAATTCCCCTGTTCCAGCCCCTTCCTATTGCTTACCAAAAGTGACAGGACCTTTCTCCTATTGAAGAAAGGAGCATCTTGTAAAAAAATAATAAATATCTATATTGGTCTCTGTCGAGATCTTAACACAGAATCCCTAAAACCTTGTAAATAGGAGTATTAGGAGAATCTTTTGTTCTAATATTTAGTCTTTGACCCCAGTTCCTAACACAGAGCTTTTTACTCCCTTGGAATTTCCTGGGTGATGGAGCATCTTTTGTAATGAGGTGACTTTCAGGGGCCTCCTGGATGGGACTGGTCATCAGAAAGGCTGAAAGCTTGGAACTTTCAGCCCCACGTCCCATTCTCCAGAGAGAGGAGAAGGTGGAAAATGGAGTTAATAATCGATCATGCCTATGTGAGGAAGCCTCCATAAAAATCCCAAAAGAATGGGTTTGGAGAGGTTTTAGGTTGGTGAGCACATTCATGTGCTAAAGTGTACCCCAGCTCTGGGAGAGACAGAAGCTCCTGTGCCCTGGACCCTTCCAGACTTCGCTCTATGTATCTTTTCATCTGGCTATTCATTTGTGTTCTTTAAAATATCCTATGTAATAAATCAACAATAGTGAGTAAACTTTTTTCCTGGGTTCTGTGAGCTGCTCTAGCAAATTATCAGACCTGAGGAGGGGGTTGTGGGAAATCTAATTTGTAGCCAAGTTGGACAGAAGTTGTGGGTGACTGGGAGACTCACTATGTGCAATTGGCACCTGAAGTGGAAGGCCATCTTGTGGGACTGAGCCCTTAACCTGTGAGGTCTGTGCTAACTCCAGGCACTTAGTGTCAGAATTGCTTGCTGTGGCAAGCCCAGACAACTGGTCACAGCAGTGTAATAAGTATTAGAGTAAAGGAGAACTGAGTTTTCCCCAGGAATGTATAAATATCCACAGTTGAGGGAGGTTTAGTTACTATGAGGTACTTTTAAGTGGTATGACTGGTAAATTTTTCCAAAATATTTTAAGTAAGGATTTTAGATATAACCAGCATCATAAATGAACACCATCTGCTTATAAAAGAGAGGACAAGATAACATCAACTAATTTAGAAGGGCATAATCTCAGTACTAAAAACTTGAATAAATTTAATATTATGAAAAACTGACTAAATTGTTCATTTTTTCTTACCTACCAAGGACCAGTGAAAATCTCATGAACCTGCCGGCACCACCATTTGGGAGCCATGCTCCTGGGACCTCCATGTAGCACTTATGAATTGCATTTAGCTGTAATCAAGCTTGAAAAGCAGTGGCTTAAACAAATTAGCAGTTTTCTTTTTTTTTTCAAATGTAAATAGAAGTTTAGAGATAGCCCCAGGTTAATATGGCTGTTCCATGATGCTGTCAGAGATTCTTTTTATTTTTCTTCTGCTCAGCAGTCCTTAGCATGAATTTGGTCATCATTGGATCCCGAGATGTCTACTCCAGCAACGTGTAGGCACTGAGAAGTCTAGGTCCTGGGTAAAAACTATGTGAGATCTTTTGGGCCTGACCAAAGGCTGTTACAAAGCTTTACCTGACAGGCCTTGGGGGAAAGCTGCTCACCTCACACCAGACTAGGTGAACAGCCAGCGCACTGTGCTCTCTGAGGTGAGTTGCAGTCAAGGACTCTGGCCCCACCCTGGCCCATCACCCAGCCATGCTCTTATGTATATCTACATCCCCAGTCCAGGAGGCCTCCTTATGAAGGGAAGGGGTGGGAGCCCTAGCCATGACGTCTTTCAGGTGCCTCTGCTGAGACCACCTTATTAGGGGCCAGAAGGGGGGCAGTGCCTTGATATTTCTCTG